AGCTGGAAAGCTGAGCACTGATCTAAACAGTTTGCCAACTTGCCTGGTCCTCAGTGGAGCTGTAGAGAGCACAGACATTTTGATGGAAGTGCATGGGTTGTGCAGACTCAGCATTACCCAGAAGCAAGCTGGCAGAAAGCATCAGCCATCCATATCAACCACCTTGCTGACACCAACCAACCAGAAGAAACAGATCAGCCCGGCTGGAAAATCTATCCAGCATTTCTTTTACTCATTTGAGACACCTTGAGGCTTATCCATAAAGGCTTCCTCAGAAACTCAAAAAAGCCCAAGATAGGTTCTCTGTTGGCTCTGGCATTATGTACTTTGTTTTCTTTGAGTCTTATGATGTACTGCATGCCAGGATCACTATGAAAATCCACAGGGACATTTACAGTCTAACACTGAACCCAGCATCTGAAAATACAGTTTTTTCTCCACTTACAAAATTTTAATGACTTGAAGTAAATTTTCCACATATGCTGAGGCAAATTTGAATCTGGCAGTTTATACATTTCTGACCAGTCATAGCTCACTGGAAAGAACCCAAAGCAGGTGATGCTCGAACTAAACCATCTCTTTGCTCTTTTCACCCTATGATGGAATGCAGCAAACCATAGTTCCAGGAAAAGATAGAACATTTAGACTTAGTTTTCCCTTAAAAAAATTATTTAGAAGGAAAAAAAAATAGCTGGCAGACAGAGGTTATTTGTGAAAGACAGAAAGTAGGATCTGGACAAATCTTCCCTTTGCAGAGTGGCATCCACTTGTGGGTTACATTTTTGGATTTCAGCAAACAACTTATCTTGCTGAAACAAATAAATCCTGTGTACCTTCTCTGGAGTACAGAAGTGCTTAAGATGGGTTTAATGGTCATTGATATGTAAATAAGTTAGATGATCTGTGGAGGGCAGGTGCTCTCTGCTTAAATTGTTCAACCCTGTAATGATATAGACCAGGAAACTCCAAGCAGTGCAGACTCACACTTCTGAATCATCTCCCAGAAAAATAACTGCCTTTGAGTCACAGATCAACAGCCTTGACAAAATATTCCAGGTTAGTTTCATCCCTTCCTGTGCAGGTAATGTTCTGCTATAGACACTAATCCTCATGTAGAATATAATGAAACAAACATGAATGTCTTGCCAAAACAGCACTTTGTCTTGGCATCAAGTTTCAAGAAAGCCACTTAGACCTTCAAGCTCCTTACCTGTAATCCTTCAGTAAAAAAAGATTTCATTAAGTAAATCCTAATTGCACACATCTTGAAGTGGAATAAAAACAGGGAATTCCAGAACTGCATCATAGATAACTTAATAATGTTGAATGAAGGGAATAGAACTCATGGAAGAAGTGATTCAGAGGGCTGAATGTGCTCTATTTCCATAAAGATAGCTTAGTTTTGTAGGGTATGACTACACAGGGCTTCACCGTCAACCAAGTTTTATTCATGAGTGCCTGACCTGTTCAACGTGTTCCACACATCTTCATGATGATAAAGAACCAGACTGATTTCTGGAAGCCAAAAGCGAGTTTAAGAGACAAGCTGGAGTTTTACATTCTGCATCAGCAGCTGGATTCCAGTACTGATCACTACTCTTCCACTGTCTCAGTCTCAACAGTTTCAACAGACCAGGAAAGCCTCTCAGAAAATCTAAAGGGCCTGTGTATTGACACTAATCAAACACTACACTGGAGAAAACCTCATCTCTAAGTGATGTATTAGCAATGGAACCAGCGTGAATCATACACGGAAGCAAAAGCCACTTATCTTTACTGCATCTTGCCAAAGTACCCAACCAGCACCAACAAACACCACCTCTTACAGGACTCCCTTTGTGGTTTTATTGAGGTCAGCAGGGTCCATTACAGGAATCAACATCAACTCTGCTATTTTAGACCTTGAATTCAATTTAAGCAATCTAAATTGTGCCTCCACTACAAGAGATCTTGCCAGTGAGGCAAGATGCACAGATGACATGCAGCAGCACTAAAAACTCATTTTTTTAGTCTTGCATAGGGACAGATGAACAAATTGGGAAGAGAGAGTGACAGCATCCCCCTCACAGCCACCATGCTCCTTCTCTCCCAACAGCTTGTTGGGTCTGGATCCCAAATGGATTTACTTGCTACTCCTATAGTGCAAGGGCACCTACCAGAATCCAGATCCCACTCTGCCTAGTCCTCAGCTGTTCCTGTAAGAGTGGGGTCCAGAGAGCAGCCAGGCAGAAGGAAGCAGAAAGGTGTTTGTTTGCCTCCAGCTGCTCTTCAGCATCATGAGCTCTGCCCCTTATTTACTCTTTATCAATTTTTCTGCACCTGCTCACTTTTTTGCCTTATCCCTTCCATTTAACATTCCTCTTGTAATTCCCTCACAATATCATAAGACTACAGTATTTTCATCATGTTCACTTTCTTTGCAAGTTAAATCTTTTGTACCACCTGTGGCTGCTTAGACAAGGTTTTTGGGGAAGGACTGCCAGCTACTTTGTGTATGCAGTGTCTCAGACAGGTTTCTACTTCACCTGAGTTTAGAAGCCTGCATTATAAACATGCCCCAGAAACATCTAAAAATTTGTTACAATATATAGTTAAATGTTAGTGTCCCGTAAAGTTATTAAAGTTATTAAGTGGAAGCACATACAGTTTTTTTGCATAAAGGGAGTGGGTGAAAGTTCAGATACTTCATTAATTCTGTGAAATTCATAGTACTCTCCCTAATGTACCACGCAGATCCCTGCTTCTCCCCCCAAAAGGCCCCACAGATCCAGTTCCTGTGGACTGAAGTACACATGACAAGGACTTTGAATGATCTAACCCATTACCTGAAAGCTCCTTTGAGAGCAACTCTCTGTTTGCTGCTCTGTTGCTTTTATTCTCCTAACTCTGACCACAAGGGCAAACTTAATTCATTAGGAAAATCATAAGCACTGAGATATATAACTACTAAAAACAGAAAGAGAGAGCTGAAGAGCAAGAACAGTATACCTGGCAGAGAGAGGCAGGGTTAGCAACAATAAGTAACAGAACTCTACATTATTACTTTAATTCTTGAAAAACATTACCTAGTTCATATTGTGACCATTGTCTGGAAAAAAAGGCTGAAGCAAGAATCATTTCATATCAGTGCAAGTCAGTCTTGTGACTAAATTTCCAAATTGCAGACTGTCACGTTCTCTGCGTTCAGCCAGACTAAATCTTACTTTGCAAAACAAGTTTTTTAAGTCTATTAACCAACATTACCAGCTACTTGTATTTGAAGGAAATAACTCCTTACAAAAAAAAAAAAAAAAAAAAAAAAAAAAAAAAAAAAAAACCCAACCAGAAGTGAGTACCTGGTTAGAATTCATTTTCTGCTTTGAGTGTAAAGGCAGCCAACAACACCAGGTCTATTGGTCTATTGGAAGGTACTGCTTACTGCTTACTAGAACAGTTCTGACTGAAAGAAAGCCTTAAAAGAAATCTCTGTTTATTCTGCACTTGCAATGGATACCTCTCCACTTGCAGCCTGCAAATTGTACTTTAATGAGCAGTATCAGTTACAGGAGTATCATTCACCAGTTCAAGTGGAAAAGCTTATGAAGACTACACATATGATCATTTTAGATAATAAACAGGGTTTTGCATACTCAAGGATCTTGGACTGAAAAAGGGCATTGTTCTGTTTGTAATTTCTGGTTTAACTTCCTGTTAAGAATATTGTTGTCCTGTTACTATTTGCACAAGCAGCATTTAACAAGCAGCATTTCCCGGAGGGAAAACAAAAAGTTTATCTGTCAGAATATTGGGAATACCAAGATACTAGAACAATGTCAGGGGAACCAGTCAAAAGACTGTTGTTTTGGGTTTTTTTTGTCAAAATCCTTATATGCAGTTTTCAAATTTTTTGACAAATAATTTAACATAAACTGAATACTTTTTAATTTTCCAGACAAAATGCAGCTCCATTGAAATCCAATGTAGCCTACTAGCATGTTAAGGGTGTATTCTACAATGAACATATACAACCTGTGGACTATACAAGTGGCAATTAGAGACTTTTTCACCAATATGTGAAAGGACACCACTGAAAATTTCCAGTTCCTCTTATACCTGCCCATGCAGCCATACCACACCACCTCAGCACTTTATCACTTTCCAGGGTAAATGTCCTCCTGACAAACTTACTTTGGGGGAAAAAGCAACCAACAAAACAAAAAAGCACCAAAAGACTAAACCTAAAACTTAAAAAAAAACCAAAAAAAAACACACCCCAAAAAAAAAAAAAAAAAAAAAAACCACTCAAAAAAGTTAGAGATTAATTGCTTTGGGTGGAGTATTGACATATCAGCCCAGCAGAAGTGCCGTTTCAACTGCAATTCCTTATCACCTGCAGTTCCCCTCATCCTAAGGCACAGCACTAGAGCTGTGTCGCACGGGCAGGGACGGACACACACCCACACCTGAATTGTCGCACCTCGAACGTGGCTCTGGAGCCACTGACCGCCTGCTTCTGCCACACGGAGCAGGACCAGGGGCTGGCAGAGGGGACCGTGGTGACACTCAGCCAGGGGAAGCAGAAGTCAGCTCCGGTGAAGTGCCACTGCTTGCAGGTTTGCTTTATTAACAGAGCATTATTAATGACAGCGGCTTAGCAATAAAATCCAGGACATGAAGATTTGGCTTTTAGATGTACATTAAGTATTCTGCATAGAAACGTTTCAGCCTTTGTAGGTTAAGTAGTAAAGTCTCTGTGTTTTGAGGGAGTAACAGAGTGAAGGATCACAAAGAACACGAATACTGAAGCCCGAGATTTTCCCCACCTATTTATCACAAATTCCCGTTATCTATTGTAACACAAAAAACTCACAGCCTGCTACTTGAAAGCACAGCGCCACATCCATTCACTAGCTAGCAGACACCAACACGCAACCTGCGCCGAAATGAAATGCCACGCTCCAGGCTGCGATCCCAGCCAGGCTGGTGCCGCACCTCAGAGAGAAGGGTGACACACTGGCTAAATGACACACTGGCTAAACACACACCTCGGGGAAGTGGGGCTCTCCCAGCCCTTCCAGCTGAAGGCAGAGGAAGCTCGGATGTGACCGACGGGGCGATAAAACTGCGAGGGGCCGTTCGTGCAGCAGGGCTGACACCAAGCCCTGCGCGGTTATTCACCTTGCAGCGAGCAGAAGCCGAGTACACCCCCGACATGCCCGCAGCCCGAGCCTTACGGTTCCATCACTCTAAATGAGCAGCAGCCGTCTGTAAGCGGCAGTCACCTGTCGGGGCTGCGGCGGCTCCTCCCGCTCCGCTCCGCGGACAATCCGCCCTCCCGCCCCGCTCGGACCCTGCCGCTAGCGCTGCCCGCTGCAGCCCCCGGCCCTGCCCAGCCTCTCCGGGACGCAGAGCCCCGGAGCTGCCCACCGCGGCCGCTTACCTCGCTCCCTAGCCGGCCGCCGGGAGAGGCTGCCCGGCCCGCGCTGTCCCGCTCCAGGTGCCGCCGCCCCGCCCCGCCGGCCGCCCCTCCCGCCGCCCGGAGCCGCCTTCGGTCCCCGTGTCGGGGACCCGCTGTGGCCGCCGGCTTCCCTTCCCTTCCCTTCTCCCCGAACGGGCTGCGCGCGGAAACGCTCCCCCGGAAAGGGGAGCTGAGGTCCTGCTCGTACAGCTCAAGAGACAGAAAAACAACTCCGCGAAGTTCTTTGCTGTTACCTACCGTACAACACGTTGCTATGTTTCTGTTTGAGCTCCGAGACGTTCACTCCCCTTCTCCCAAGAATTTAAACATGCTTTCTTTTAGCTTGGGAGAGCAACAACATCACAATAAAAGGACAGAGAGAAACAATTTTCAGACACAGGATGCATTTCCTTTATCCCTGGATTAATCATTTGTAGAGCAAAGGAACAATCTTTCCTCACATATTTTTACTTGAATTAAAGGAAGGTTCTTCTAAGGGTGAAAAATTAGTTCACTTGAGTGAACTCTAGCCTATGTTCTCCAACATAATCCACAGTTCCTGGACAGGGCGTCTAATACCAGCCCTTCCTGTACTCTGTATGCACCAGAAGGAGCTTCTCCTTTAGTCTGACACAGAGATACTGATTTTTCTTGCCTTTCTCCTTTCCCTTCTTTTACCCATTTCATGCAGAGGTATGAAAAACTGCAGACTGGACAAAGCTCCAGCTGAGCATCAGGCAGGGTGCAACACAGAGAAGCCAAAAAAGTGCTGTGGTGGTGCTTCTGACATGAATTTCTATCCCACAGCATCTTAGCAGGGATGCCTGCCTCACCTTCACTGACTCCACTGCAGCTGGACTCAGGGATACCCCAGCACACCCAGCACACTGCAGGCACTGCCAGCTTGCCCCCAGGGCCCTTCCCAAAGGCCAGTGCTTTGGAGCAGGAGCATCCTCAAACTGAACAAGGGGCCAAACAGCCACCAATGCGGTGGGCACAGACAAAGCAGCAAACAGGGCAAGGAAAAGACTGGCTCTGCTGTCCCAGACCTGTGACCTTTTTCTTTTTTTTCTTTTTGTTAATGTATAGATTACAGACCCCCAGCTGCTTCTGTGTTGATAGAGCTTCTTATGCCTTTTTGGCATATTTTATCTCCCAAAAAAACCCCACACACCTTAAAACTTCTACCAACCATTCCTAAGTAACTTCTCAGGTCAGCAGGACTAAAAATGCCAACAGATGAAAAATACCCCTGTCAGCCTTTGGATTAATGCCAGCAGGGAACTGGTGATAAATAAATAAATAAATCTGCTCTGTGTTCAGAAGCTGTGTAACTGCTGACTTTTACCAAATGACTAGAGCCTTTCCAGCTCCTGAACTCAGTAAAACATGTTTATCCTGTACCAGACACATTCTACATAGACTTAAGTGAAGTTTTCTAGTGCTGCTTTAAGATTAGGTTTTGCCCTAAGCAACATTCCTGGCATGGCTGCAGAGGACCTGTCTGCAGATCTCCTGTACTGCCCCAGAGCTGCCTGCACGATGCACAGGCCACAGCACAAGCTACCAGGGCACTCAAACATGAGATCCCCCAAACTTAAAGCAATCACTCAGAACTTCCCTGAATGCTTAGAAGCATTTTTGAGCTGTGGCATTAGGAAGAGGAACCATACAAAAGAAAAATTGTCCTGGAAATGGATGATGTTACTAAATGTGACAGACCTATCTCCAGCATCCTGGGATACAGAACATGGCACTGGCTTCCATGCCCAGCACAGACTGAGAGCTGCTGCTTTTGTGGATAAGGAACACTGGACAAAAGATATACAAGTGGAACTTACTGCATTCCCTGCATGTGACTGTTTTGCTCTGGTAGAATCATCCATTCTCTCCTCCTCAGCATGTCTGTCTTCCTGTTTTTCCACCTGGGATTGCTGTGATCCATAAAATTCATTGAAACATTTCCAAGTGTCATAAAAGCTTTCTCAACTGAAAAAAATAATGTTAGAGAATGTTCTCACAAAATTCCTGGGGAAGTCAATCTTGTTTCAATTCCTCCAATCTTTATTTAAATTTGTTCTCATGGGATCATTAACACAATACTTCTCTAGAATACAGAGTTTCAGAAACAGTCTAATTAACCTCAAGTGTATTGTTCACCTTTCCTCTTTGTATTCTTCATGGTAAAAAAAGAAACATAAACAAAAAGTGAAACTGCCACCCCAGATGACACCCCAGGGCAGCTTTACCCCGTAAATATTCTTATTTAGGGCCACACAAAGACAGCCCATGCTTGGGTGGCTTCAAGGCACCAGTAACAGTGGGTACAAATGCACATTCTCATCCAGCACATGAATCACATGCTCAGCAAGAATGCTCAACAACACTAAATGATTTTTCAGGGATGCTGCTGAGGGGTTTTATTTTCCATCCCCTGAGTTTTTCAGAATGATCAGCTGGGAGTTGTTCAAAGGAGTCCCATGAAATGTGGCACTCAACCGAAGAACCACAATCACCTGTGCAAATGTGTATCACTGAGGTGTCCAGCTCTGTCACCAACATCCCGTTCCTGCTGACACTCACAGCATCAGCCTTTGCTATACAAAAAATCCCACCTGGCAAAAATCATCCTGGTCTCTGAAATCTCTGAAATCTCTGAAAAGGAGAAGAGAAAAAAGTAATAGGCCTCCAGAGTGACTTACAGAAGGATGAGGGCAAGTTATAGGTTTTTCTCATCAAAAATAGCTAAAAATCCATATTCCTTAGAGAATCATAGAACCATCAAGGCTGGAAGAAGCCTTTGAGATCATCAAGTCCAGCTGTCAAAGATAAACCTGCCAGCACGAAGGCAAGAACACCTCCACAGTGTGTTTCCTTGTTGGTTTTTTAAGTAATTCAGTGCAATAAGGAAGCTGATGTGCTTTAATTCCACGTCTCTGAATTTCACAACAATTCCCCTTAAGATCACCTTTCACCTCTGCTGGTAACACAGATTACAAACATGTACATCTAAATTACTTTGAGAACTTTTATTTTTATCAACAACATTTTATAGTTTTATTATGAAAACAGATTACCTACATAGATTATCGCTAGCAAAGCAATTTGAAAATCATACACCTGAGCTACTGACACACAGCTAAAAGAAGAAACATGCGCATTCATGTCTGATTCAGCATTCTGAAGCCTAATAATGACTTATTTTTAAAACTACTGCAGAAAGTGCATGAAGAATGTTCAGAAAAATCTGTTTCTCTTTTAACTATCAGTAGAATAAAGTAAGGTTAGAAATAATTTTTTTTCTGCCTCCACATAAGGCCTTTGAAACTTCTGTTAGTTTAATTTCTTTGTCTCACATGCTGTTATTTTCACACAAAAGGCAAGAATTGTTCCAAGAATAAGTCTCTCTGAGACGTTTACTACAAGTTCACACAAAACCCACCCTCACTCTCAGATCGGAAAAAAGGTTCAGCATCTACTGACTTTACTTGCTCCAGTTCACACAAAGTTTTCACATTCGAGAGTAAAGCTGTGCTGTTTCCACTGCAGCCTGTGCCACTGCGATCAGTCACAGAACAAGCTGTGAGCTGGGGCTTGTGACCTAATGCGAGCTGACAAAGTATCGGAGTTAGTAAGCTTTTACAGCACCCAGCACCAGCATGGGCAGTTAATACTGACGAAAGACACTGAAACTAAACTTATTTCCAAGCCAAACGTCGGTGAGAGATGCCCAGCAGCCAGAGCACCCCCAGCCCCGCACCTGGGGTGCGTGAGCCCCTTCTAGCGGAGAGGGCGGGCGGATGGCAGGAGCCTTCCCACCGTGCCGTGTATGTTCACGAAAAGTTTAAAACAAGCCTGGGGTAAGAGGAACAGAAAGACTCCGATGTCCCAAAATGCGATCCTGTTGGCGGCGGGCGCCCCCGGCGGGCGTGGGCCGGGGAAAGGCGGCCCCGGGGCAGCCTCACCCCGCCCGCCCGCCCCGCTCCCGGCAGCCGCCGGCACGGCACGGGAGCGGAGCGAGCGGCGCTGCCCTCGCCTCGCCCCTCGCGGCGCTGCGGGCTCCCGGCTGCCCTGGCGCCGCGACCCCCGACCCGCAGCGCCTGTCTCTCCCTCGCAGGGCTCTCTCTCCTTGCCGAGGAGCCGCACGGCGCCGCACCTGTGGATTTCCTGCAGGAGCTGCCCAGCTGCCAGTCGGCGCGGAGGCGCCGCGGGGGCACCCAGGAACGCCGGCCGACCCTGCTGGGCACCGCCGGGAACGCGGCCCGGGCGCTGCCGCCGGAGACAGGAGAGCTGGCTGGTCGCCCCGCCAGAGAACACCCGATGTGCATGGCAGAGAAGAGGAGAACAAGGTTAATTTCACGCGTTTCTTCCTTGGTTTGGTTTTTTAAATGACTTTTTCCTAAACACAACCCAGGTGCGCTGCAGGGGTGAAGGAGAACTGGGTTTGGCTGTGTCTTTCACCCTGTGGCATGTGATTCTGACAAGAAGGTCCCCGAGTGCTCTGATGGCACGAGGGAGCCGCTGACTGGGGGCAGAAGTAGGTTGAATTGGAAGAAATTAGTCAAAACTGGGAATTACCTGTAGCAAACAAATGCGTTTCTCACTGTTTTTCGTTTTGGGTTTTTGGTACTTTTTTTTCCCCTCAGGGTTTCGTGTTTTCAGGGGTCACTGTGAGTTATCTGCAGGAACACACACACCTCCCCCCCCGCGCTGCTATGCGAGTGCTGCTGCTCTTGAGTCTGCTTAGCTGCTCTTACACAATGCAATGCTCTCTCTCTGCTGCAGCTTTGTACGGTTGATAGGAAGCTTCTCAGGACCTTTGCTTCTTTTTATCTTCTCCCCCCCGCCCCATTCCTTTTAAAATGACTCTTTCCTGTGGGCTGTTCCTGCCCCCCTGGTGGTTACCCCCCGGAGGGAGGGATTGTAAAGACTTTGCTTTGCCCCGCCTGAATTTCAGTGCTTGTCTCACGTCTCACTGCTGGGCTGAAAGCTGCTTTGAGGACAGAGGATACAGGATGTGGTTTTTCACTGTCAGACAACAGCTGCACCTTTAAATCAGGTACATTGTAGTTCTAGTTATGAACCAGAAGAGAGGTGGAAGTACAGTTAATGTACTCCAGGGAGAACAAGAGCTACTCTATTGCAAGAGCAGTGGCAAACAGCCTGACCCTGGAGTTTCACTCTATAGCCTGTACACAAGAAACAGTAGAAGATCTAGGTCATGGTAAAGGAAAGTGCTTGATACCTTGCATTTTTATTTGAAGTTGGGTATCTAAAGTTCAGCTCTTCAAGAAAGGGGAACTGGAGGGAGGAGTGGAGTTGCAATGTCCCAGGCTTGTTTACACATGTTAGCACTGATTCTGGTGGGGCTTCTTGGCGCTTCTACAGATCGGTGATCTGCATTTTGCAGCAGCTGCCAGCACAAAGTGCTTGGCACAAACATCCTGAGAGTGGAACACTCAACTTCTGTAACTCAGATGAATGTGCAGCCCACGCTTCTGTTTACAATGCAAACCCAGCACGGGCCAGACAGTTCTGCAGAGTTAAAACACTGCAAACTACAGCCTGTGGTTTCCACAAAATGAAATCTCTTGAGAGGAGCTGTATTTGCTCTTAAAGCTGAGGTCATCTGCTGCCTGATTGAATGTTTGTATAGGTTTAATTTGACTTCCTGCCAAAATGCTCGAGCCATGAGGAAACAGGCAATATAGAGCACACATGGCAATGCATCCCTTGGGCACATGAGTAGGGTTGACTACAAGTCTTTTAAAACTGAAACCTTGGTACCACAGCATCGTGTCCTCATGGGTTCTTACTTAATTGCTGCCCTTCTTCAGTGGCATCAGAGGCTGGAAAAGAATTTGCTGTATACAAGCCCATTTTCAAGCTATGTTTCTGTGAAGTTTTGTCTGGTTTTAAGGTTTCTTAAAAGAAACAACAAAATGAAAACTCTGAGACACTCAGAATTCTCCTTGATGCTGTTGCTGACTGGGAAACAATTTTTAAAATGCAAATGTGTTCATATAGTATGAAAATCCCTAAGTGAGTGGTTAAAAATTACAGACAGTGGCACATTCTCAGTGTTTGTTTGCAGCTTGTTATTAGAACAGTGCATCCCTAGAGGTGCTGGCAAAAAATATTTTCTCAAATTCATTGAATTGGCATTTTCCAGCAAATATTTCAAAAAGCTGTTGTTGTCAACTTTTTTTTGTTTAGTTGGGGTTTTTTTCTTTGTTTATTTGGTTTTTTCTCCAAGAGAGGTGAGTGTTTTTCATGAGACAGCTTGCCCTATTTGAATTAAGTTGATGTTGCCCTTACCAGCAAGATCAGATGGGGAGAGTTTGTGTGTCTGTAGCTATTCCCCTGAAGGCTGTGGGCAGGCTCCATCCTGCTAAGCCCTGTTACATGGAGTGAAAAATTATTTCTTGTGCTCAGTAGCTATATTTCTGGATTCTTAGGGACTCTCAGCAGGCTGAAACAGAACGTTTATCCAGATGGAAGAAGTGGAGGAGAACTAGCAGTAAATCATTGAAAAAAGCACTCAGTGAAGTCAAGGGCTTGTCATCTTACCTGGTGCTTTGGCGACATGATATTCACAGCATAGAAGGTATTTCCTGTCTGATGTCCATTTCTCCTCTGGAAAGTTGCTTCTGTTATTGGCAGTTTTACCTGTGTGAGCATAGTTCAAATATAACTACATGTGCTTAAGAAGTTACTTTCTTCCCTTATTATTGCTGAATGTAAAATCCATGATATGGTAGAAGGAAATATATTGGAAAAAAATATTAATATGTCCACCCTGCATTTCAGCTACATTGCTAAAAGTCTGTAATACTTAAAACTATCTTTAGCAATGTTTCTTCAGTTCAGTGAAACTGATTTCATAATCTGCTCTCACTGTATTTGCAGTGGTTTTATCATCTTAATTATTGGCACATGTTTCTTTTATTCCCAGGGAAATTTGGCACTGGCATCCAGTCCTACTTCTCCTTCCTGCGCTTTCTGGTCCTGCTGAACTTTATAATTTTTATCCTGATGTTCAGTTTTGTTACTCTTCCTACCATAATTTCTACATACGGACTATTCAGCAGTACCACTGCTTACATTTCTCCAAAGGACGTAGGTAAACATCTTCTCTATGTACAGCTGTTGTAAGATTCCCCCTTTCCATCAGCTTCCTCTCCACCTCCCAGAAAAAAGGAAAGCCTTTTTAGAAGAGTGTGGCAGGTTTGAATTAATGTGATCTTGCAGTTCAGTGGGCACTACCATTTGAGTGACTTTTCATGCCTTTCTTTTGACAGATAATATCTGCACAACTTATGAACCTAGTGGTAATAAGGGACTTGTTTACTTCTATACTTACCTCAAAGATTTGCTCAGTGGCACTGTAAGTAATTAGTTGGGGTTTTTTTAATTAAGTGTCTCATGTAGCATTTAAAATAATTTTTAAAAATTACTTGTGGAATGAAGCTTTGATAATTTTGAAAACTGGTAAGGCATATGCATCACTGGGGTATGTTATCTCTGAGAAGGGCAGTTCTCAAACTGTTTTTTACTGAGTGACCACAAGGCCTGGCTGGCCACATGCTGCAGCCTGTGCCACTCCTCCCCAGCTGCTACCCCTTATTGTTCTGGAGCACACTGCCTATTGTTCTCTCTGTGTAGGGTCTCAGTGTCTGTGTCCTGCAGCTTTTTCATTGGAGAGGGGAGAGATTTTAAGCACACAGTGCCTGCACAGTTTGGTAGAGGCAATGGCAGTATTTAGAAGCTACAGGCTTGTAGCTTGCTGGGGGCCCTAATTTTAAATGTACAGAGTTTACTTGCTTAATGTAACCATGTTGGATTTTATAGGGCAATTGTTGCTGCTGTTGTTACAAATTCTATTTCAACTTCATTTTCACAGGGATTCCTTGAAGTGACAATTTTGTTTTATGGCTATTACTCAATAGATGCTGTATCGATCAGTATCATGAGGTACAACTTGCCACTTGCATACCTGCTGGCTACATTTGCCTACCTTGCCTTAAGTTTCCTCTGGATAATAAAGAGGTAAAGATGTTGGTGTTGTTTATTTACTGTTACTTGTTGCACAGTTTAGATTCTATTCCTGCTTGAAGGGAACATACTCTTTTCTAGAGCTGTTTGTGTGGAAATGGGCAGTGTTTTGCCTGAGGATGCAGTGCCACAGTAGCCTTTGGAGTGCTTGGGAAAAAGAAAACAATTTGAAGTACCAGTTTTTCATATGTATGCATACCTATAAGTAAAACCCCCTCAACTATACTAAATTCGTGGAGGATTGTTTTAGGGGTTTTTGATTGAGTTTTATTTAGCCATCTCAGTTTCCTTTGCTGGGTCTGGGTGAGGTGAGAAGGTGTGACTGTGGTGAAGTGCAGGTGGGAATAACCTGTACCAGTCAGGGTAAGCTGCTGCAGAATCTCACACTGAAAGAGTCCCAGACACTGGCTGGTACTAAGCAAAGGTGACAGTTTGCTCAGAGGGGGTCATTTAGTCTTTGATCAGCCAGGTTGCTTTTGTGTGTTTTTCCTGTGCACAAAATGAATCTTCTCACAAATTTTTCTCTAGGTCTGTGGAAGGCTTTAAGCACAACTTAGTGCATGATGCAGATCCATTTCAGAGTTACTGTAACAAAGTCTTTGCGGGCTGGGACTTCTGCATTACAGATCCAAATGCAGCCCGGCTGAAACATCGCAGCTTGCAGTATGAGCTCCAGGTGAGTTACTTCTGCCTTTTTGTGATTACGGTTACATACAGCTGAGATGGCTAAAAAAGAAATGTGTGCAATTTTGCAGATAAGGGAATAAAGTTAAGAAGGATTGAAGTTGCTTGTTCTGGGGGTGCAGCCCACATCCTCTTGCATGCTTTCTAGGTACTGGAGTGGTGCAACGTGAGAAGGATTGGCACGGATGTTATTGGCCCTTCCCCCATCCACTGGGGACCAACGCCAGCCCGTTAGCTGCTTATCTGCCTCTTCCTCACACTCCAGTCCTGCTTCCTGTGTTAGTTTCTGTATAGTCCAACAGGAAAATCTGTCCCAGCTGCAGGCAAAACTGCAGGGATCAGCTGGAGTTTTCTGGGGTTTAAGCATGCAGTGCAATAAGCAGTAGTTTGGGGAGAAATAAAATTCAGATGGTGCTCTTTGTACTGTTTGAGAGTATTATTGCAGTAAGAAGATACTGAAAAATTCTCACTAGGTGTCTTTGGCACACATGCACATACAAAATGCTGATGCAGCTGTAGATTTCCCAAATCATAAAGCTCTGAAAAGAGTCTGAATGGCTCTTTTGGTAAAACAAGGACCTTCTTTTTGCTCTCTGTACACTGGAAGCAGAGATTTGTGTAGTGAAAAAATTACCTTTGAGAAGATGCTTCCACTTCAAACCACAAAGTCGTAATTACAGATTTCATAAATTACAGTGAGTTGCTTTCTGCTCTAGTGAAGTTCTGAGTCATCTATTTTCATCATAGAATCAGAACCTCCTTCACTTGCTACACTTTTGCCTTCAGAACACACATTTTAGAAGAGCTAGCCCCTTAATATTGCTGTTTGATGGACATAAATGATCAGAAAATACACTCTCATGTGTGTTATGTGGGTTTGCCCAGGTTAAATTGCCTTCACAGGAGATACTGTATTCTCATCTCAGTTAAGATGAAATACACCAAGTTTACATTACAAGCTGCTCAAGACTCTGCTTCCTTCTTTCAGTGTCATCCCCCAATTTTCCTTCACAAAGAGTAGAAGGAATTTTGAGCCATAGTGGTGAGGGCTGGTTACTTACCTGCAGAAGTAACGAGATGAGTGACTGGTTTACTCATTTCAAAGTTTCATTTCAAGCGGAGATCAGTCTCTCTCAACAAACAGACAAACTGTCTGTCCTCAAGGAAATGTGTTACTGATACAGTAGAGAGAAGAGGATTGTGGGACATTTGTCTTTGGCTACAGAGCCCTCAGCTCAAGGAGGCTGAGCACACAGGGGCTTCCATTCCTGCATGGACCTGTTTTGTCAAAGAAAAGACACTCCATTCTGTGTGCTTGGGCAGGCACTGGAGTGACTGTCCTAGAGCAGGCTACAGATTTGCACTTCTTGGGGGTAGAAGGCATGGTGTTAAATGTTGTATGCTGCATCAAAAAAAGTGCATCTCTTTTTTCTTTTCTTTGTAGACGGACTTGCAGGAAGAAAAACTGAAGCAAAAAATAGCCGAGAGGAGAATGGGAGAAAAGCTACGCATCTACTCTCTGAGAATATTTATAAATATAATTGTCATTGCCATTTTATCTGGATGTTTTTACTCAATTTATAGAGTAACTGTCTTCTCTCAAGAAAACTCCAATGTGAGTATAAGAAATGACACTAGGACAGATTTGGTGAAGGCTGGTGATGACAGCAAGAGGAACTATTGTGAAAGAGTCCAGTATCTTAATATAGCACCTTTCATGCAGGGATCTGAAAATGTTCTCTACAGACTTACAGTTTTTTTAGTAGATGAGAACAGGAAAGATATGAACCATGTGCCAAAAAAGCCTCCCCAGTCATGTCTCCCATTGCTGCAGAGGCTTCAGTGCTGAGTGCCTTGGAGCTGACAAGAAGAGCAACCCGCACAACCCTTCCCTTGTAACTGTGCTCATCTCACTGTGATCTGTGGGTCTGGACAGTGAACTGGCTGGGAGAACTGACCTGGTTAAATCAAACTTCATCATGATCAGTTTCACATGATCTGGTTCACTGTCAACTGCAAAAATGCACTTCAGGGGAAGGAAGAGTGAAGACTGTGATCTGTCTTGTGGCTTGAGTTACCCGGTGTGGGGAAACAGGAAGGCTTTGATCACAGAACAGTTTTCAGAAGCAACGATTCTTGCATCACTAGCAGAAAGAATCAGGTTGGATTGGTTACACCTCTGGCAGGACAAGCAGATGGAAAGAGTGGTTCAGAAGCAGAACAAAGCAGACAAGCTTCTGGTTGTGACAGCTTCACAAAAGTGATTGACTTCTCTGTTGGACCCCAGGGTTTGATTACTCTGGTAGAAATGGGAACCACAATTTTCTCTCCCCTGTGTAAGTTCCTGGTATAATGGACTTAGCTGTTCACAAGGAAAGTTGTGCTCATGGGGGACCTAATTCTGAACTTCTGTAAACTGCCAGGATGGCAGGGACAGAAGCAGGAAATGGGGGCTAAATGAGTTTATGTGTCAGAGGTATTGTTTGAGGGCAGAGAAGAGGACAACACTGAACAACTTCAAGAATAGCTTCACTTACTGGGGGCTTTAAGTAGAAGGGTTGGTATATTGACCTTGTCTTAATGAGCAGTTAGAGAAGCTTGTCAGGATGGTAGGAAAGTCAGGGGAGCTGCTTGGCACCAGTAAGAATAAATTGATAAGTGTCTGCCCTTGGAGTAGCTGTAAAACCTGGTAGCCTTGATGCTGGTTAGCAACAGTCAGACACAAACCTTGGTGAGTTGAACCTCTTTAAACAGAAGCTTTGAGGAAGTACAGAAATACTCTTACCTAGAGAGGGAGGGAGTTCCTGGTGAAAGGAGCAGGAGAAAGCAAGGGTGTGTAGCAGCAAACTGCAGAGATAGCAGTGATCCGGCTCATATAAAGGATAGAGATTTGTTTTCCATGAAACTTGCTTGTCTGGAGGTATTCAGAATCAGCCCTGGGTTTGCCATTCTTGTTACACCTGGTGTTGATTCCTATTGTCAATGCAAATGTCAGTGAAGGATGAGGATGGAGTAAAAGATGCTTTCTGGATCCTGGACAAGGCAGGTCGGTGTGTAGCTGGAGACAGCACGCTCAGGAAGGTGTGTTTCTCTAAGCACTGTGTTTGTCTCATCTCTTCTCCTGCAGGACGTTGGCAATGCAAACTCCCAGGTTAATCTCTTAGTGCAGTATTTGCCTTCCATGGTGATCACACTGGCCAACTTCATCGGTCCTCTGATCTTTGCATTTCTGATCAGATTTGAAGACTATACACCAGCCTTTGAAATCAAGCTGACACTCTTGAGGTAAAGATGTTTTTATTGTGGCCTTGGATGTTTCAACAACTTGTTCTTGGTAGGCTGTGTGTATTGTAAACATTGAAACATCAAGAAGCAGAGAAGTTGGCACTGGAAACCAAGGAGGCATTGTTTGGCCAATGTTTATTTGGAAACTTTAAAGCTGGGAACAATGTGTTTTGATGACAGTGCAGTGCAATCATCTCAGTGTCCAAGTTTTTTTCTTGGTCCCATTTAGCTGTGTGGTCTGGACATCTTCAACCTGAATAAATAGTCAGTAGAGAACTTGTGGCTGCAGAGCTTTGCATGCAGCAGTTCCCTGAATGAGCAAAAGTGAGTGTACAGCAGTGACTGAAGCAGAGCTTTGCTCAAGGCAGAAGTTAAAGTTTTGGGGTGAAAGATACTTCAGTGTAAGAGCTGATGTTTGGCAGCTTAAGGCAATAAGATCTGGGTTGAAGCACCTGAACTTTGCAAGTCCATGCTTTGTATTTGTGATTTGACCAAGTGCTTCAGAAGGCCTGAAGCTACATGAAATAGAAATGCTGCACACAGTACTGCACCTGAGGGAATTGCAACCTGTTGCAGCATCAAGATCTGCAGCTGAAATGACAGATCTAGGAACACTATTGAGAAAAGAAACAAAGGACTGTAGCCTAAAGCTGGGAAAGTCAAAAGCAATTTTAACTTACTGCTAAGGAAAGAAATGTGTTTATTATCTGGATGGCTGCCCTGTTAAAGGTCTGCATGACCCTTCTGTGTTTTAAGCCTGCCTTGGACTCCTGTACAAGGCGAGCCCAGTGTTAAATGGCTGGTTTTTGGAACATTTGGAGTTAGGTTTTGCCTTTCTTCCAGGTGTGTCTTTGTGCGGTTGGCCAATATTGGTGTTCTCTTGTTCTCACTGTGGAGTCAGATCTCCGGCTGTGGCAGTGACAAGTGTGAGCCCTGTGGATACAATTACAAACTCTATCCTGTAAGCAGATTTTTCTTGGTGTTTAATCATCTGAGCTTGTGAAGGGAGATTTGTTTTTCATGAGAGTTGCTTGTCTAGAGGTGTTCAGTAGAAGCCCTGGGGTTGCTGTTCATGCTGTGCCTGGTGTTGATTCCCATGCTCAGTGCAAACCAGTGCAGTTGTTACACAGATCTCCTTTGCTGTCTAAAACTCTGATTACAATTAGTCCAGTGGCAGACGATTCCTTAGTACAGACCTTCTGTCCACCATGAGGATTGTCTGAGGTAGCTGTGTTTTGGAGACATTGTGCTACAGCCTTTTGTGGCATTAAGGCAAATGGGTTTTCCTCAAAACACCGCCCCCACCCCAAAAAAAAAAAAAATCCCAACCACCCAAACCAAACCAAACACACCCAGCCACACCCCACCTCCTCCCCACCTCACAGAAAAATCCCAAAAACAAACCAAAAGAAAAAAAGTGAAAAGCTTGGCACGGGAACTTTGAAACACTTGAATATTTTAGAAATTGGAGTTAATAGCATTTGAACCTTCATGGCGTTAACTGAGATGATTATTGCTTTAGTGATACACAGATTTTTCACTTGTTTATTCAGACTGCTAATCTTGTTTTTCCTGACTTGTTTTTATAGTGCTGGGAATCTGATGTTGGGCAAGAAATGTACAAACTGATGATATTTGATTTTATTGTAATTCTTGCTGTGGCCCTGTTTGCAGACTTCCCCAGAAAGTATGTATCTCTGCTTTTTGAGCATATTTTTACAAATGACATATGAAACACATTTTCTTTTTTCTGCTTTAAATTCCCCACATTGCTAACCAAATTACTAGTTTTAAAATAAAGCATAATCATATTTCTGGTGGTTTGAGCACCTGTTTGCTATTCAGATGGCTGTATAGGTTTTGATATTTGAGAGTTTTTTTCTTCAGACCTTTTCTGTTATGTTGTCTAATGCTTAAATGCTAAGTTGTGTGTGTTTCAAATATGTTAGAATGCATCTAAATTCTACAACTTCTGTTTAGGATTAACAATATTCTTTGTTTCAGGTTGTTAGTTACTCATTGCTCTTGCAAGCTTGTTCAGTGGTTTGGACATAAGGAATTTGAAATTTCTGACAATGTCCTGGAAATCATTTATGGGCAGACTATTTGCTGGATTGGAACCTTCTTTTCACCACTTCTCCCTGCAATAGCAACTATAAAATACTTCATCATCTTCTATGTTAAAAAGGTAATGAAGGCACGTGCTTGATAAAGAATTGAGTACATCTCTGTGGTTTTTGTAATGCGGGCATATAGATAATGCAGGTGATCTAAAACCATCAAAAAACCCTAAAACCACCTGTGCATGCAGTGGATGGAATGAGCTAATGATATTCCATTTTCAGTAAGGTTTTGTGCTTTTAACAGACGCTAGAATTTTGCTTTGAAATCAAGCAAAGCCGCATTTCAATTACTACTTCTCAAATTATTTGGCTTTTTTTTAAACAGCTTTCTTTGTAACAAAGCTAGTTTATGAGACTTTCCTGCAGTAATCTGTTTACTAGCAACACAGCTTAGAACTTGGACAAAATTTTGCAAAACTGCTGAAAATTTGGGAGCAAAATGGAAAATCCAAGCTGGGTGGGATGTTCATGTGATTTCTGACTATCACAAGTTTTGCTCAGTGATCACACAGCTCCATCTGTGCCTCCAATTCTTGCTGATACTTTAGGTCTTGCAAGAGGGATGTATCCAGTGAAGATGTGGCAGAACAAAGCCAACAGCAGTGCCATGGGTCCTACACTAAATGCCTGTGTCAGATGACTCTGTGCAAGTGTGTGAGGTCCTCTGAATCAAATTCTTACACAAATTAGAAGACATTGATTTACACCAAAATGTGAGGCAGTCTTTTCTTAGCCCTTCTCAGCCAGCCCATACACATCAAAGGAGGTGGTTGTGTGGTAGCTGGTGGCATGTTTGAGAATGAAAAATTCAGTTGCTGGGGGAAGTACACTTGGATTATATCTATATAGATGTACTGGTAACAGTTTTACTCACCGTCCCTCTTCAGATTGTTTTGATACACACACGCAAACCCGCAGCAAGGCCTATAAGGGCATCAAGTTCCAACTTTTTCTTCCTGGTGGTGCTGTTGATTGGGCTCCTCTTGGCTTTTGTCCCTCTGGGATTCAGCATAGCACGGTAAGTGACGATTGTAAGTTCTGTGAAGTTGACACTTGTTCTAAGCTTGTCAGTTCTGCAAAAGCAGATACACAACTTTAGAATGGTTAATGGAATAAAATATATAGGGTATAACACATAAACTTACAGCTTAGTTAATATAAACAAAAATTACAGTTTTATAGATATAGGACACTTTTACTGCATCACCGAACTGCTGCTGGGTTTGTGCTGGATTATTTTATCTTTATATTTTGGTGTAACATCTTTCTATTCTGCTCCTTTGACAGTATCCCCTCTTCCAAGGCATGTGGGCCATTCAGGAATTTTAACACTTCATGGGAAGTTGTTCCAGATACAATACTTCAGTTTCCAACAGGTCTGCAGCAGGTCCTTTTTGGCATTGCATCAGAAGCCTTTGCAGTGCCTTTTTTTGTGATCCTCTGGTGAGTACTGTGGACATTTGATTCCCTTATGCAGCTTCATTTCCTTGCTCACTGAACTCATACCAAGCATCTGTTAGGCCAGATTTTCCATTTGCAGTCAAAAACATCAAAACCCATATGACTCCTCAGCCCTTATGTCTTTGCCCAGGTGTTCACACTCATCAGCTTTGTTCCATTTCCTCTTGCATGTCCCATATTCAACAGTGTCCTTCTCAAAAATGTTAACTGTGAATTCTCTGCAAATTAGTACTGTAAGCCCTGTGATCACAACTCCTACCCACAAACCCTAGTCTGAAAAAACAGGTAAAACTACCAAAACAGTCATTCTGTAAGATGAAATTGAGTGTAGAATCATAGAATTTTTAAGGTTGAATGTCACCTGTAGAGAGAATCTAACCCAAATCTCCTGTTCAAAACACGGTCAAGTAGAGCAGTTAAATTTTCAGTATCTCCAAAGATACAGAAACTCCACAATACTGTTCCAGGGTCTGGTCAGTCTTCTAATAAAAAGGGGTGTTTTTCATAAGTTTAAATGGAGTTTTTTGCACTTCAGTTTAACTAAACTGTTTGCAAATTTTGGAGCCTTATTACCTGATGCTTTCTAAAACTTCTGTGCTTCAAAAACCATGTGGCTTATTTAGGACTCCACCCAGCCCTTCCTTTTGTAACACACATTTATGTGTTCTCCTGAACTGAGCTTGTTATTACATACATAGGAAATCTCAAGTCCTCTGTTTTTGTTTCTTGTTTACAGCATCATCATGTTCTGTGTTTTTGTTTGTTGTTTACAGCATCATTATGTTCTATGTTATTGCCTTGGCTCGAGCACACAAACGAGTGGTTGAACAGCTGAGAGAACAACTGGTTTTGGTAAGATCTGACCCAACGCTTTACTGACACAACAAAGAGAACTTTAGGGGTACAGAAATGAGAAGAATGCAGAGGAGTATTGGTTTTCATAGTCTCCTGGATAATTGGTTTTTGCAACAGGCAGTAAAGAAAATTTACAAATTACCCAGGAAAAATAACCAAAGCATTGTGGTATTTCTCAGTGGAGTTGATTTTCTTGGGTACCAGCTGCAACTACAACAAGGTCTGGTTATATCGGGCAACACACATGCAAGAGATGTGCCCCTGAGAAGCTGTGTCCCTGTTTTTCATCTGTTGCCTTATTTAAATCCACTTATCTGCATGGTTTTTCCTGCCAAAGAACCTGAATCCTGTTTCCTGTGCTTTCCACCATCTTGCACAACCTCCACTTCTGTTTCCTTCTCTGCCCTCACAAACAGGCACCAACTCCCTACCCTTCCCTCCAGGCCCGTGTTTCTACTGCATCTTTTCTGGTCTTGCTGTTGAGTGTGGGCCCAGAAGTGCTTGAGCAGGTACTGAAAGTGGAACAAGTCGGCACTAACAGCCCTTTGGAGAAGGGTGCCAGTGCAGAAATGCTGCTTTGTGGCCATCCAAAGCCACTGCCAGGGTTGGCAGCATTCGTGTGCTGCGATGTGACAAACTGCTGGAGTCAGAACTCAGCCTCAGCAGTGAGACATCTCACTTTCTTAGGAAATAGCCCATTTCTGGATATGTGCTTCTTTTAGATATGGCATTTAACAACTGTTGGCAAAAAAACACTTACTGGGGGGAGATTTTTGAGGAGTGAGGAATTTAGGAACAAAAGCCTTCCTGCTTTTTGAAAGGGTTCACAAATCAGCTGGGAATTCTAAAAATTCTTCTGTGCTTTTTATTTTTGTTTCCTTGCTCTTGTTCAACTTCCTGGAAGCATGGTTTAAATTTTGAGTTGTGTGAGATGTTTTTACTAGGCTCAGTGCAGAACTGTTAATGTGTAACCTGAAGTGAGATAAATGAAGTCAAGGCCATTGTAAGCTTGAAATTGTTTAGGCAATTGAGAGTGTGCTGGGGGGTAAAACGTGGTGACTGCACCTATTTCTAATAAAGAAATGAGCTGTTGTAGATGACTTGTATTACCACTCTTCATGTGGAGCATTCTTGTTCTTCTGTCTTTCCAGGAGAGTCGTGACAAGATGTTCCTAATCAGAAAGATAGCAGAAGCTCAGAAGTAGCCTTGAAAACCACACAAGCCAAAAGAACTTGACTTCCTGAAACCCCCAGAACAAGAAGATAACAGCAGAAGCATTTGCAGCTTCTACAACCTGAGCAGCTGACTGGCACCCTGGGACTGTGGTCTGTGGAAGGGGTGCTTGTGGTCTGAGGCTTAACATTTCCAAAACTTGGAAATTCAGCTGATTTATACTGTGTTAGAGCTGTTCAAAAAAGGATACTCTAATGCTCATACAGCTTCAGGGTTGTTGGGATTTGTTACGTCCCTATTTTTTTCAGGGAGTTTGGGTAAAATGTGATCGGAACTGAAATGCTTTTGTACTGTTTTTACAAATTATGCTATAAGAATCACGAGAGGGAAAAGGGTATGGTTTTATATGTTTTCAACGCCTTTCATTTGTTTTAGTTTTAAAAAAAAGTATGTATGGAAGTATGTTGATATAGCGCATAGGAAAAGAAAATATGTCATGGGTTTGAAAGCAGTTTTCTATCTATTTTTAGAGGTGAGGATTTGCTATTTATGCTGCTCTGAAGTAGAAAGAGCAGTTGAACACTGGATAAGTAATCATAAAATGGTTCAGAGAAAACAAACTGATAAAAGAGCTCTGAATAAACACTTGGGGTAGGAGGAAGCCCGCAGGCACAGCACTGCTGGAGCACCAGCCTTGCTGCTGTGGAGGGGCCTTTTGGTTTGTTTTTGGGGTTTTTTTTTGGTTTTTTTAACGTTTTAAGTCATTATTATTTGTGTTTTATTCTTGTATGAACATCTTGACTACTGGTCTATGTGATCTAAAATGGGAATATTTCAGAGTTAAATTATTGGTTGGCAATGCCATGTGTCAGTACTCCTTATATTGACTACCGGTCTATGTGATCTAAAATGTGAATATTTCAGAGTTAAATTATTGGTTGGCAATACCATGTGTCAGTACTCCTTATTTCTCATTTTCCCTGTCTTACCTGAACTGCTGGGACCATGTGTCTCAGAGAACCGTGTGTCCCTGCAGCCACTAACCCAGTCCTTTATTTAAAGATTGTGATTAAGGATTTCTTGTACAAAACTGCGTTTATTGTTTGAAATCTGCATTAGTCCGCTCTTAGTTAATGTGAGACACTATCCTTTTAATATAATATTTTGGAATGTTTTCTGTTTAAAGGAATGACCATTCAATAAACGCTATTTATTTTACCATACCTCCTGGCTCCGTTCTCTCGCTGTGGCTGTAGGGGCCGGCCTGGGGCTGCCTCCGGCCCGCCCTCCGCGCTGCCTCCGGCCCGCCCCCAGCGCTGCTCCGGCCCGCCCCCAGCTCTGCTCCGGCCCGGCCTCAGCGCGGCTCCGGCCCGCCCTCAGCGCTGCTCCCGGCCCGCCCTCAGCGCTGCTCCCGCCCCTCCCTCAGCGCTGCTCCGGCCCGCCCTCCGCGCTGCCTCCGCCCGCCCTCAGCGCTGCCTCCGCCCGCCCTCAGCGCTGCTCTCGCCCGCCGCAGTTCCCGCCTCGCCCGCCAGGGATCGCTCCTCGTTCCCATGGTAACCATGCCTCTGGCTTTGATTGACAGCTGCGCTGTCCAGTGCGGTGGCTGCGCGGGGCCAATCGGAATCGCGACAGGGCGGCGCGCGGTGATGACGTCAGGCTCAGCGCGATGGCGGTGGTGGTCCCGGCTCTGCGGTGCTCGCTGTTGCAGCGCCGGCCCCTCCGCTGCGGGCCGGGTACGGGCTCGGCTTCGCTTCCCGCCGCCCGGGGCCGCCTCAGGCCGTTCGGCTCCGCGGGTGGGCGCGTCCACCCGCCCGTCCCGGCCGGGGAGCGGGCGGCGGCGGAGCTCGCGTCACCTTTGTCTCTCCGGCAGGTCCGCGGGCTGTGGCCGGCGCGGGCGCTGCCCTCAGGCCGTGCAGCACGCGGGGGGCGCCCGGCGGCATCAACAAGCCCGTCATAGACCGCATCATCCGCGTGGACCATGCCGGGGAGTTCGGCGCGAACCGCATCTATGCGGGGCAAATGGCCGTGCTGGGCAGGTCCAGCGTGGGACCCGTCATCCAGGTGAGCCCTCCCGAGGCTCTGTTTCCTTTCCCTGGGATTAACAGCGGCCGGGTGGTGGTGAACGATCGTAGCCTTCACGGCGAGATTGTTGTCCAGTTTTTTGTGAGCACTTGCAAACGTGCGGGTTTATAAAGAGTGTGGGCGTACTTGGTGAGGGAGTTACCGTGCTGCAGTTGCTGTACTGTTGTCCTGTTTTGTAAATGGTTTTATGTTACCTTCTTATAACTCCCTCTCTGTCCTTTTTATAACCATCTGCCCCTGCCTTTCTGCACCTTTTCTTCTCTCTGATATTACAATATTGCCTCAGCTACCACAGCACATGTATCCTGAGCTGTTTTGGTTTTTTATTAGTTTATTGGTAATGTTTGCCTCTTGTGGTTTTATGCTTCTCTGTGGTCTGGCTCTTTTGCAGCACATGTGGAATCAAGAAAAAGACCACCTGAAAAAGTTCAATGAGCTCATGGTTGCATACAGAGTTCGACCCACTGTTTTATTGCCTTTCTGGAACGTAGCAGGTTTTGTTTTAGGTGAGTTTGGATAATTACTGTTGTTGTTGTTTTGTGAAGTCTTCCGTTGTGTTAAATTATTTGTTTTGCTTCAGATTTCATTGTATTCATGTGTCTGGTACCCCAACCCCAGGGGCTGGAAGTGCTTTGCTTGGAAAGAAGGGTGCAATGGCTTGCACAGTGGCTGTGGAAGAGAGTATATCAGAGCACTACAACAACCAGATCAGAACTCTCATAGAAGAGGATCCAGAAAAGTACAAAGAGCTATTGCAGGTATTTAACCACGACTTAAAAGTTGTTTAACAAATTGATTGAATTATCCAATGTGATTTAGTCTTTTAAAAATAATATGCTTTTAGAATTTACAGTGGGTCTTTTTGTTCTGTCACTTAGAATGCTGAAGTCAACAGAAACTATTAAAATAAAAGGATGCTTTTTCCTTCAGGAGCACTGAATTGATCAAGCACCAAAATTAAAACATGTGTTGGGTTATCTTCAGCATACTTTCAGTAATGCACTGGTTCCTTTTCATGTGGGACAATTATGCTTTGAGTTTGATTAATTTTAATTGAAGGGTCTAGAGGGGAAACAAAAGGAGGAAATATTGATTGCACAGTAGCTGTGTTGCCCTCCTGTGAAGGCATTTCAAGTGCCTTCAAATGCTGCTTAACCTGAGCTGCACACAGTGCTCAGGGTGAGCTCGGGGTGACCCCCTCCAGCCCCTCTGCCCGTGCTGTGTTGGATTCACCCCAGGGTGGGGTTTGCCCTCCTGGCACTGCTGCCAGCCAGCACCCTGGTCATCTTCTAGTCCTGGATGCTCTCAGTGTGTAAGGAGCTGGTGTTTGTCAGCTCTGTGAGAAATTAACTTCCCAAGCATTTTAGGTATCAAACTGGGACACGTTCCTGTGAGTGGTTGTGGCAGATTGAGCTGTTTCCACAGGCAGCACGTGGAACTGGTTCATTTCCAGCCTTGCTGGCTACCGGTGTGTTCAGTTGTGCACAGTGTAACATGTAGCAAAATCTGATTATTCCAGTGTATCCTTTTGTTACAGAAATTGTCTCTGAAGTAACTGGGGTTGTGCTGAGGTGCACCAGGGAAATACCACCCCTGAAGACAATGATATCATGAAATAGATAGACATGGCTCAAAATAAAGAGAAAAATCCAGACAGTGAGTTTACTCACAGTGCCAATATGAGGAGAAGTAGAGGGGACACACCAAAAGCAATGCAAACCTGTTGTGCAGGGACAGTGCTCAGATGTCTTGTAAGTGCTGAGCTCTTCATTATGCAATCCTGTCACCTGCAGGCATCTCAGGAGAAAATCCTCTAAACCTTTTTGTCCCAGCTGAAAAATTAGAAGACAAACAATTGTTCTTTAGAGTATGCTCGAATGGACAAAAAAAAGCTGGTTAGCTTACAGGGGAACACCCTTACTGATTGGCAAGGCAGGGACCTTAATTCCTTTATTCAAATTGTCCCAGTAATATGGGGTGTGAAACTAGTCAGTCTTAAAAGTTACTATGGCTGTAGGTTTTTTTGAAGCAGTGAAAAAAATTGTGATATATTAATTAAACAGCAGCTTGAACTTAAAGACTTCTTTGGAGACCACCAGAAGAACTTCAGGTTAGGGGAATGCTAGAAATAATTCCATTCTTGCTGAATTGGAGGTTCAGATCTTTGAGAAGTTTTTGAGAGACCCTGGCTTGCCATGGTGCACATAATGGACAAGAGCATCTAGTTTTGTGTGCTGGCTGCCTTGGTTTCTCTGCCAAGCAGGCTCAGTAACTGCTGCTTTTCCAGGTAATAAAGCAGTTTTTGCAGGTAATAAACTGCTGCTTTTCCAGGTCATAAAGCAGTTTTTGCAGGTAATAAACTGCTGCTTTTCCAGGTAATAAAGCAGTTTTTGCAGGTAATAAACTGCTGCTTTTCCAGGTCATAAAGCAGTTCCGGGATGAAGAGCAGGAGCACCACGACATTGGGCTTGAGCACGATGCTGAAGCTGTGAGTAGAATGTTGACTAATGATGCTGTCAGTGAGGATGTGGATGTGCTGCTCTTACCTGCCTTACTCAGAGATTGGGATGTGGCTCTTTGAGAAGTAGAAAATAAGGCTCTTGATACTCTTTCCCAAAGATACATATAAGAATGTCCTGCATGTTATAATTTTCATTTTTCTAGAACAGAACTAAATCTGTTGGGATAAATTTGAAGTGTTAAATTTTGGGTTTTTTTCCTAAGAGGTGTCCTCTGCAAATTTTTAGATTTTCTTTTAATTTCACTTTAAATTAAATATTTTTGAATATAAGGCTAATAAGTGCTATCCATACAGTGCTGGAAACTGGAGGCATCATCTTATTAGGAAGTGTGGAATACTAAACTAAATTCTGTGTTCCCTTGGATACTGTATGGGAAATATGTGACTTCTCTCCTATTTTTTCTCTTGACTTACATTTGTGGAGAAATGGGAATATTCTGAAAAGTTGATAAATTTTAATTTAGTTTTCTCTAGGATAGACTAGGCTGCAAATACAGGTGGGGTTTTCTTGGCATGCTTGTGGTTTTACTTTGATTTTTTTTTAATAGTGCTTACTGTTCATAATCACAATCTGGTTCAAGCAAAGCACTTCAGTAAATGTGTTTAATCTTTTATTCTTTTTACAGACACCAGCTTACTCTGTTTTGAAGACAGTCATACAACTTGGATGCAAAGCTGCAATATTTTTATCAGAAAGAATTTAGTTATATTTTTCATAATAGTTATGGCAATAAACTGTGACACAAAAGCATATGGAAATTGTGGAAGACTCAGCTATTTTATTTAGCCTTCTAAATTTTTCTGCCTCAAGCACTTGGTTCAGCCATCCTTTGTCACATTGAGTCTCCATTTAAAAAGTACCTATATTAAAGTCACTTGAGCTAAATGTGGATAAAGGTGGCAAAATTGAGTCTGTGTGAACTGAACCTCCCTATTCAGAGACTGTTCACAAGGTGGCAGCACAGCATGTATGTACATGGTTTATACATACAGTTTATTAGTGTATGGATGCACACACAAAAATAACAATTACAATCTCTGTTGCCTTCAAATTTATGTGTACTTGAAGTAAGCTGGAACAGCTCATTTTAAAATATTTAATACAACCAAGAAGAATATTTTTTCTGTTTCCAGGGTGAGTGAAGTAATAGTAAATATTTATTTTCAGTCCATCTTGAATAAAAATTGGTATTATAAGACCAGTTTTACTTAAAGACTTCTGTGTTTGGGGTGGGCCTTTTTTCAGGCACAGTTCCAAATTATTTAAGTAGAATTTTACTTGCTATATTTTTTCTGTTGTGGTGGGGATTTTTTTTTTGGTGTTTTCTTGGGCTTTTTCTTTGGTTTGCGGGGTTTTTTTTTTTACCTGAGCGTGTAAGGAATTGATCCCTGTCATAAAGCAGGTGGAGAGAGCAACTTGGAGCACTGAAATTGCATTCAATATTCTATTAGAACTTTCAAGCTTATCTTACTTTGCTTCAGACAGCATTTAATCCAGGTACATCTGAGCTTGCCTTTTTTAGTAGCTCTGTTAGTGTTTGTAGGTACTGATTGGTGTGTAATTTGACATTAAAGGCTTCTTAACATGATTATTTACCCTTTTTTTGGTGAAGGAGCTTAGGCAGAAGGTTAAATCTTAATACAGAGAAATTCCTGTTCTGTGTAATTTTGTTATGACTGTCACTTTGTATGTTCTTTAAAATTAATATCTCTCAAACTGTTCTAAGTGTCACCTTGTTAGACTCAAACTACTGATGTTATTTACTTTGTTCAATCAAAGTAGCATTTGGTTCTCTGTCTGTGACTGGTTTGGAATAACGTGACTCAAGGAACTCAAAGCTACATCCCAGATTCTCAGGGACTGCAGAATCAGAAGATAACTCTGAGGGAGTCTCATTTTACTGCCTCAGCCTCAGACAGTCATGAGCAGTGTGTGTGAAAAACTCAAGTTTACTAAAGACACTAATGTAATATCTTCCCTAATTTGACCATTTCTCTGAACAAAACTTACCTCCAGCAGATTTCTTGCCTTAATTTCTCTAAAGTATAAAATATGCATGTGGACAACTCCCAGGTAATTTGTAGGAGAGAGGAATCAGGACAAAAGAATGATTAGCTGAGGTGATTAGAGGGGTAACAAATGGTGCTGGAAGCTTGTGCAGTGCAGCTGTGTAAGTCACAGGCTTTAATAATTTAGTAAAAGAAGAATAAAAGATTGCTTGATGAATAGTCCATTGTGAAGTCTTTCATACCAGGGGCAGCATGGGATGGCATCTTTTATAAGTCCATTATTGCAGGGGAGGGAGGGCAGGGCATGGTGTATTTTCACTGAAAACTGCATGCCCATACATACAGTGGTCTTGTGACATAAACTGGAAACTGAGCCAGACAGTTTGTGGTCTCCTAGCCATTACATCAGGGTTGACAGCTGAACAAGGCATCTGTGGGGTTTTCCAAGAGAGCTGGTACTCAGCTGAAGCCTTGTATTCTCCAAGGTTACAGAGATTCTCTGAAGATGTCTGTGGTGTTCAGCAGTAGTGGGATTGGCTTGTGACAGACTGACAGAGACATGCTCATGTGATTGTCCAAGATTTGGGTGGCTCCTGAGACCATCACACACTGCACACTTGGGGCAGATTTTTAAGAGACAAATCTCATGTTAAATGTATTTCATTTGGCTGAGGGCTGGGAACATCAAATACCAAGAAATTGCCATGTGAGGCCTGTGTTTGGTCATATCTGCTGTAATTGAAAGTGCTCATAGAGAGTTCTTTGTCCTCAGCAGCTGAACACATCCTGCACATTTGAGAAGGGTGTCAAACAGTAACACTGTCTCCAGCTGCAAGCATGAAATGTGAACTGAGAGGTCAAATCTGCTTTATGCTCCTGAGCAGGGTTTGTTCGTTCTTTAATGGAGCAGCAGATTTCTACCCATCCATTAAGGTGTGGGTGGGCTGTTCTGCCACTTCCAAAGCTTGTGCATTTTCCTGCTCACTGGCAGTTTAGTCTTTTTTTATTGTTCTTTTACACAGAAAATGGAGTTTCTTTTCACTTTTCTCATGGAAAAGGGACTTTTCCCTTTGTTTAAAAATCTGTTTCAGATTTTGAAAGACTAAAGAAAGTGGTAAAAGGTTACAAAAGAACAAGAGGTGCTTAGTGCTGTACAATTCTATTGTACAGCTGCTGCAAGGCTGTAGTTACTTTTTTATGTTGGGGCAGAACTAAGCTGAGTAATACCAGCCATCCCAGCAGGGGTTAATGGCAGGCAGAGGCCAAAGTATATAGCTTGTACAAGTCTGTTATCATAGTAATCCTCAATGAACTCTGGTCGTGTTGACAGAGGAAGGGGAGCTTGGATCAGAGAAAGGCTGTGAAATGCTGCATTTTCAGAAAAGGGAGTGGGGAAGATGACTGGGTCTTCACTGTGCCTTTGAGTTCTGTGACTTCCTTGTAAATGATAAAATACACACATAATTTGGGTTTTACAATATACAGTGGGATTAAATCCCTCCCCTCATAGTAGTGTGATGAGCCAGGGCTTGGTCCCAGTTTTCTCCTGCAGAAGCAGTTGTGTCTCTCAGTGAGGAGGAGCACAGGTACCCATCTGTGTGTGTGCAGGGCTCCAGGGCTGCTACCTGCTCTGTGAACAGCATCTCCCCTCTTGCTGGCTTCCTCTGCAGGCAGCGCTGGGGACGAGCTGGCCCCTGTTCTCCAAAGCTGCTCCGAGTCAGAGGTCAGGGTAACGATGGTGCTGGGAGGGCAGTGACAGATGGAGCAGTGCCTGTGCTGAGCTGTTCCTGGAGCAGCATCTCTGCTCTGTCCGTGGGCACTGCAGAAGGCACGTGTGAGGCCTCACCGTGCAGCTCGGGCTGTGCCAGGACACGTTCCAGCAGCAGCCAGGCAGAAATCAAATCCCCGTGGCTGGGATTAATGAGGTGATGCTGACACAAGCTGAATGGACTTTTGTCAAGGGCATGTAGTGATAGGACAAGGGTTTATGGCTTTATGTTGATAGAGGGCAGGTTTAGATTAGATAGAAGAAAGAAATTCTTCGTGAGGGTGGTGAGGGCCTGGCACAGGGTTCCAGAGAAGCTGTGGCTGCCCCATCCCTGGGAGTGTCCAAGGCCAGGCTGGATGAGGCTCGTGGAAGGTGTCCATTCCCTCGGCAGAGGGCTGTGGAATCAGGTGAGCTTTAAGGTCCCACCCAACCCAGCCCAAACCACTCTATGATTCTGTGATTTATGATGCAAACGATGTAAAATGAGACTCATAGGATTGTTTGGCAGACAGCTAAATCGTTGTCTGGGTTGGGCTTCCTTTTTGTCTGGAGTAAATCTGTGTGGCTCACTTGAGCAGACAGAGCTAGGCTTGTGATCAGCTGAGGATGTGCCATACAGTCCCTGTGCTGGGGATGACATGGTTTGTACATCTCTATTTGTTCTTAGTATTACAAGAGTTACTTAATCTATATGCATCTGCCTTGTAACTTGACTGTAGGGAAGATATCATTTCAAATGGCAGTCATTTTTTGTCACTAGCTTTGAAGTTGTGGCATATCACTTGCATTGAATTCTGCACATATTTTTTAGCTTGGGAGGCTTAAAGGGCTGAGACAAAAATATTGGCCAATTTAAAGGAGGAATATGTGTTATAAGGGAGGAGATTGTTTAAAGGCACTACAATTTTTCTGTTTGTTACTTCAGTTTTCATTGTGTCTGACATGAAATATCTGAATGGATTTAGGAGAATGACAGCAGCTTTGTAGTTTTACTTCCAGAGTGGCAGAACTTAGCTTGTGTTGGAGAACACTTGCTGATTCTCTTTTTTAGAGTTGTGGGGCTAATCTAGTGTTGAGTAAATGAATTAACAGTTCAGTTTTAGTGGGTAATGTATTTCTAAAAACTTGACTGTGTTTGAATGAAAATTCCAGTTGTTATTGTTGTTAGGTTCTTTCAATAAATGCAGGTTCCTGCTCACTTCAGTTGTTTTTGAGAACCACCACCTTATGCTACAGTTTTGCAGAGCAGTGGGGGTGGTACCTCTGTGTCCAGAAATGCAGCTTGTGGCAGCAGCAGTGTTTTGTTGTGTTAGCATGCAGATTAATACACCTATGCTAATACTTATAAAAATGGGGATTTTTTGGTTCTGAAGGTCTTTGTCTCACAAACTGGCCATGGCACTGCCTTTACTTGTGCTTGTTCTTAGCTGGAAGTAAATGATGATCTGATGGGAGCCCAGGAGTCATGCAGTGTTCCTTGGAAAGGAGCTCTGGAGGTCGTCTTGTCCAGCCTCCTGCTGCACCCAGGACTGTGGCCAGCACTAAAGCAGGTCAGCTGTGATTTTTTCCAGACAGGTGATGAAAACCTCCAAGGACAGAAATTTCACAGCCTCTATGGGCAGCCTGGTCTGGTCCTGCATTGCCCCACCAGTGGCACTTTTTTTACTTTCCTGAACCTTCCAAGACTGTCACTGCTGCTGCTTATTATGCCACGTAGCATCATGGAGATGAGTTTGCCTCCACTGTCGTGGTAAATACCCTACCCTTTGAGTAGTTTTAGGCAACTATTAGATCATTCAGGTTAGCTGGCCTTTCAATGCCTGCTTCCTGAACTGGCACAGAGGAAAGGAAGAGATGCAGCTGATGACCACTGTGACAGTCTCATTGTCTGCTTAAGACTTCAGGCTTCATATGTCTTCTCTCCTTGCTGGTATTTTCCACCCAACTGTTTGAATGTCAGTGATTTGTTTTTCAGTGTTACTTGTGCCTAGGACAGATGGATTTATTGATTTTTATGGTACAGGTGGACATGTGTAGTCCAAGATACTAATGAAAGCGAGTCATACATACAGTAGGTGGTTTTCATATTTAAAATACCTTTTCTGGACTGCAGTAAAAGGATTATTTCTGGCACTAAAAGTGCTTTTCTGTTTTCTCTGTGGCTACTAGCCCAGCCACCTTCCTGGGCTGTCCAGGTCAGAGCAGAGGCAGCAGTGGGTGAGGGGGATTTGAATTTTCTTGCAGTTCATTTTGAAGACAAGCTCTGCCAGCAGTGTTTTAGCAAGCTGTCAAGAATTTTCCCAAGCATGTGGCTTGAGGGCACCTGTATAGTCAGAGGCTGCTAACTGTATGTAAATGGATAAAATGTTTAGTGGAGTGAAAAGCCTTTGCTTATAGGTGCAGACAGACGTGCAGTGTCAAGGC